AGGGGGGAGAAGGAGGTAGAGGGGGAGGAGGGGGAGGTTAAACCACTTTATAGCCCTTCATAATGTTATGGTGCATCTGTGTGGAGATTTACTAAATACCACAGAGGTTTGATTACTGTGGGGGGAGGRGACACAAAATGTCTTGTCGTAACATTGACTTTTTATTAGGGGAGGGATGCCAGTATCCTTGCAACACCCACCTCTCTGGTCCCTTCTGTCCTATCTCTCCTATCTACTTTATTTGCACATTTTCATTATGGACTGACAAAATATACTCACCCACCCCTCTCTTGTTCATATTTTTTGTCCTAGTCACACCAACAACGTTCGTCCCATTGGTTGATTTCAAAGAACGACCTCAGCAATGGAAGTGGATTGGTATGTTTCTGAAGAAAAACATATAWATGTAAATGTTTTGTGATGAAATTTGATATTAGGGGTAACCTGAAAGTAGTCCCAAATCAGGGCCTCCCCCTAGAAAACTGTTGAATTGTTCAATGCTAGGTTTCCATAGTGACTGCTTCTATACACAAACACGTTTAGCATTCATGCAAAAAGACAGTACATTTAAAAAGACAGAGATATTTGAGGACAAAATCCAGGATTTCACTTTCAGAGTAGGTGGGTACCAATATAACCCCACCCCTCCCCTCTCTGAATTAATCCCTTAAGATGACATATGGAATTTGTGTTTCCTTATCATGTTGTGTCAGGTGCTTTGCGGGATTCTGATGAGGAGCTCACTCAGCTGTGCCAGGATTGGCTGAAGGTGAAGGATCAACTCTCCATTAAAAAGGTACATGGTGTTATATTAAACGTGCCAAGACCGAAAGAATTCAATCTTGTAAAAACTCATTAAACCCCTGTTTTTCCAGGCTACTGCGGAAGGTGGAAGCACAGTCAACGCTCCTGAAGCCCGAGTGTACGTTACGAAATATTTTAGATAATATCATATTTTATTTTTGGTACCTGCATTTCCTTCAATTGGAAAATTCATGGCATTGTGTTGTCATAGGCGCGCAGTTTTATCTTCAACTCCACTACGCTTCTTGCTTCTTCTAACACTTCTAGTCCCTGAGTGCTTTAAGTCTGCAAACAGCACGCAAGCTATTTCTTCAATTTCCTCTTTTAAGAGAACTCGCTTTAACTTACCAAAAAACGAGTGAAACTAACAGCTCCATTCCGTGGTTGTATCTCTTTTTTAGGAAGACTGATTACATCGTAAGACCCAGCACAAGCACGGAACAAGATATATTCAGAGAGCAAGAACTGAAGCGTTATATGAACCCACATAAAGCTTACACCTATCATATGCACGGGTTTGAGTCTGTTGTTGGTCCTGTCAAGGTAAGCCGTAGATTGTGGCACCACTTGTTCTTGCTTCTAGAACATATAACATTTTATGGACGTGCTCGACCATGTCCTTGATGGCGCTGTTTTGCGGACTTATGTCAGTGATTGGAAGAGAATTAATCTAGTATGTTCGATTCCACACCATAGCCGTGGATAGAGATGACCGCACTGCTGTTGACAGTTGCCTTATTACATCCCACTAGGGACTGAGCTTCTTAGGTTTTGCGTAGGTATAAAATCCGGAGAACGTACCCTGAGAAAACACTCGAATCAAGGGAGCTTATCATATTCCTCCTCGCCCCCTTGGGAACATAGGCTTTTCATTATTGTCCTCCACCTCACTTCGTTCTCTGCGGTTTTCTTTGCCCCTTCCCATGATGTGTGCGTTCTTCAGTTCTGCCATGCGTGACCTCCTCCATGACTGTAGAGGCCTCCCCACCTTTCTCCTTCTTCCTTGTGGGTTCCACAAGGAAGGGAGAGACCTAACAAACTCTACTCACATGTGATGTCGAGTCCAGGAATCAAACCTGAGACTCCAGATAAAAGAGGCACTACTCACCATTATACCATTCTTATATTTCTTTTTCATTCCAGGGAGTATTTTCCAAGGAGACCAACTTGAACAAAGCGAGAGAACATTCTCTTCTGGTTTCCAATCGTCCACCTTTTGTTACCATCCTGACACTCGTACGCGATGCGGCAGCCAGGCTACCGAACGGAGAAGGCACACGAGCAGAGGTAACTACYGTACCATCTATCATGCATCTAGGTGCCTAGGGAATCGAATCCAACATCGAACTATTTCACGTACTGTGTTGCCTATAACCAATGATATTGATTATTACTTTAATATGGTTTTAGGTCTGCGAACTGTTAAAAGATTCACAGTTTTTAAACAGAGATGCAACAGAAGCCCAGGTAACACACTTCTCTTCTCTTCTCTTCTCTTCTCTTCTCTTCTCTTCTCTTCTCTTCTCTTCCCTTCCCTTCCCTTCCCTTCTCTTCCCTTCCTTTCCCTTCTCTTCCCTTCCTTTCCCTTCTCTTCCCTTCCTTTCCCTTCTCTTCCCTTCCTTTCCCTTCTCTTCCCTTCCTTTCCCTTCTCTTCCCTTCCTTTCCCTTCCATTTTCTTCTCATCTGTCTTTTCCCTTATATCTTCTCCTTTCCTCTCTTTTCTCTTCCCATCCTCTTTACTCTACTATTTTCTGTTCTTCCCATTTTCATCATTTTCCTTTTCTTTCTTTCATTCTTTTTGTCCCGTCATTTTCACAGATCCACACTGTAGTTAGTGGTGCTCTTGATCGCCTTCATTACGAGAAAGATCCCTGCGTCAAGTACGATAGCAACAGGAAGGTCTGGATCTATCTTCACAGAAACAGAACGAAGGAAGAGTTTGGTAAGACTACTTAATCATTATTTGACGATCAAAATATACCACCTTGATTGCAATTTGATCTGTGAGTTAGCCATGCCCTGACTTAAATCAGCCCAGAGGTTGTTTCAGTAGGGTTCGATGAAGTCTAACGTAAAATGCATAATTAAAAGTCTGTTTTGACTATCGTACAGTAGTTGTATCACATATTATGCACSTTCCAATTTTTCAGAGAAAATCCACCAAGCCAACGCAGCCGCAGCCAGAGCCAAGAAGATGCAGAAACCGAGAATGCCACGGCATTCCAAAGCCAAGGAAGAGAGCTCTACTCSAGTATCAGAAACAGTAGACCCAAGSGCCGCGCAAGCTGTTCCTTCCCCAGGCAGCCAAGCAGCGCCCGTACCAAGCAAACCTATCGAAATGAAGAAACCAGGAATTAAGATTAAGATTGCTGGGAACACGATAAGTGGTCACCCTAAAGTCTCTGTTATAACGTCTCTCACGGGTCATGTAGATGAGGAAAAGACTCATTCTTCATGGGAAAAAGAACAAGAAGAACTCACCACTACCACCCAATCTGGTCAAACTACACCATCTCAGATAGGAGCCAAATCCAGATTGAATACCTCCGATTTTAACTCTAAATCAAGTATTTATTCTCAGTCAAGCGTTCCCTCCCCTGGTCTCAGACACACGAGCGCTTTGAATTCCCAAACGAGTGCTCTAAACAGCGCCAGCTTGCTCTACGCACCAAGTGGTGACGACCCGGTTGATGTCGTGAGCGAGACACGTGAAGAAAGTGGCAGTGAGGCATCTGTGTCAAGCAGTAACAGTGAGAATGAAAGCAGTAGTGGAAATGAAAGTAGTAGTGAAGGAGAAGAATCCGCTGATGAGCCGACGGGAGGCAAAACAAAGCATGGAGGTAAGATGTGACGTTACACCGTCAAATCTAATCTTAAAAAATCTAATGGGTTTACCACTCCTGGGTGGACAGCTTAATGCCTAACAGGCCTTGTGACCCAATTGATAAGGCAGCCGATAGATCGAATTAGAACTTAGAATTTGATTGTTGTGGAGGGAGGAAAAACCGGAGAACCCGGAGGAGAGACCCTCGAAGCACAGAAGAGAACCAACAAACAACTCTACTCACATACGACACCAAAGCCGGCAGGGCACGAACCCGGGTCGCATTGGTGAGAGGCGGCGTATTAGCAGCGCACGCCACCCGTGCTTCCCAAAGCAAGGCTGGTGAAGTGGTACTGTACACTCACCATGGGTGGCATCCGTTGCTTGCGCTGCTACGGCGCTGTCTCACCGCTATGTAGTTCATGACTTTGGTCGTGGGTTTGAGTCGAGGCTGAGCCACGTGTTTGTTCTAAGTATTGCCTTTCCGGTTATCCTTCTCCCGGTAAAAATCATCATGTGAGTTGAGTGTTGTAAGTTGTAACTAGTGAATGCAGCGGTAGTGCGTATGGAGCGGACCTCTAGGAAGAACCCCGTACGGAGAGTGATGTTTGTAAAATCTAAGTTTCATTTAACCTCTCAGTGGTTCGATTTCTGGACTCGGCATCACTTGGGAGTAGAGATTGTTAAGTCTCTTCAAGCTTGATTCGAGGGCTTTTTGTCCCTTCTTCAGGTTTCAGGTTATCGATAAGATTTGAAGTTTGATGTATCAAGTAAATTCGTTTTTACTAACTTAGATTTCGTGTTCTAGCACTAAAACTCCTCCAAGATGAGCAGGAAGATGCAGTAGACAGTCCACAATCAACAGGTATGAAAAAAATGAAGAAATAGAAATATAACTTATGAAGATATCGAGTACTGACAATGAATGCACTCAATCTTATTCACAGAGCACAGTTTTAAGCTACAAAGCCAGAAAGAAATGGATCCTTTCCCGCAACCGTACGGTATGTAGATTGATATGGGCTCAGTTTTAGATTTTGGTTCCATTGCCCATCAGCGACAACACTGTCTGGCGGTGATAACAAACGTCCAAGAAATGTTAATTTGTTACTTACAAAAATTTCTCTATCATTTCACAGGCTTTACGAATGCGTCGAAGGAAGATAATGAGTCAGATGCCGACGAACAGAATGAATCTGGAAGCAGTGATGGTTAGGATCCAAAATCCTGTTGTTGCTGCAGCTGCTGTTGTTGCTGCTTAATCTTCTGTTGTTGTTCTTGTTGTTGCTGCTGCTGCTGTTGTTGCTGCTG